GGCTCAAGTAAGTGGCACAGACGTTTGTTGTCATAGTTCAGAAATAGTAATAATCACTTGTAACTTGAGGTAGTTATGAAGGTATCATAGAGAATGTTGAACTCAAATTGGAATATGAAGGGCAAATAGTTTGGGAAAATGAGAAAGAATAACTACCAGGGAAGATCATTGTTTTAGGTACATGAGAAAAAGCACAGAGACAGGACTGAAGCATGGTTTGGGGTTAAAGTATCATTGGGGGATACAGTTGCAGAGATGGAGACAGCATTGATCTAGCTTAGTTAGGTCTGAGAAGTTTGTACTTTATCCCAGGGATAATAATGCGGTAACAAAGAGATGAATAGGTAAGTGTGGATGAATAATTTTATAGATTTTAGTTGGTTTGTGAAGTTATAAAAATAATGTTTGTGTTTTTCTTAATTATATAAATTATGCAAACAAAATTTGTGAAATGCAGAAAAAAGTGAGAAAGATAAAAATCATTCATTGAACACTTGTGTATAAATTCTATAATATTTTTATCCTTTTTCTGTTGAGATAGTTCTGAAATTTTATTGAGAACCTGAAATACTGTATACCTCTGCTGTTACCCTAGTTGTCTATTTACATGCTTGCCTCCCTTGCTAGATCTTGGTTTGGTTTCTTAAGTGAGAGCCAGCAGTTGTCTTTATCTCTGCATCTCAAGCACCTAGCGGAGCAAGGATGTATTGATGCTCATGAAAGACTGGAATCAACTAATGCTCTCTAATTGTGTAAGGATTACTTGATAGAAGAAAAGGAAAGCCTGATACAGGGATAAGAACTAGCCAGAAATGAGTAGAGAAATGGTATGCAGCACTGAGCTGTGTTGGATATATATATATATATATATATATATATATATATATATAAAGGTAGTGACTTCTGCTGTGAAATGCATTAGTTCAGTGTCCCAGCATCAAGTTTGAAAACCTTGGACTAGAGTGAAACTATGGGACTATGATGTTAAAGACCAAGCATAGAGAGATTGAAAGAACAAAGATACAGTGATATCAGTGAACTTGAGCCATGAAATATTATGTTGTTATTTGTTGTTATTTGCCGTCGAGTCGGCCCCGACTCATAGCGACCCCTCCTTGGGTTTCCGAGGCAGTATCACTACGGAAGTAGGATTGCCCAACCTTCCTTCCGAGGAGTGGCTGGTGGGTTTGAACCGCCAGCCTTCTGGTTAGCAGTCAAGTGCCTTAGCCACTATGCTACCAGAGCTCCCATGAAATATTATAGTAGATGGAATATGAAAACTATAAGAATAAGATTCTGTTGTTTCAACGAAAGTTGAGTATGTTGTATATGTGTAAGGTCTACCCATCTGGTTTAGATTACTACCTTACTGACTACAGTATTTAAGTAGAATAAAATTTAAAATAAATTAGTACTGCTTGAGGGATCTCAGACATATGAGTAAGACCTTCACCCAGATTTTCTTGCCCACATTCACATAATGGCCTACTGAACTTCTCTTCTCCACTCAGATGTTTCAGAGGAGGCCCAGATACCTCAAATGCCATGTGTTATCTTTCCTTTCAATTCTATATCTCCTTGTGTGGTTTCTATTTCAGAGAACTAGACCAATATTTACCCATTTACTCAAGTCAGTTATTCTTGGCTTCTTTCTTACCAAGTCATGTCAATCCTACCACCTCATAGCTTTCAAAGGTTCCTGTTTTTCTCTACCCCTCACTGCCACCTTTGTAATTTAGATCATCATTGGTTCTTTCCTAGATCATTTTAACAACTCCTTGACTTGTCTCTCTGCCTCCAGTCTTTCAACCTCTAATCTGTTCTCATTGTGGGCAGAGCTCCCTGTCTAAAATGCAAATCTAATCATATTAGTTCTTTACTATGACCACTCAGTGGCTTTCCATTACTGTCATAATAAAACCCAATCTCCTCAATTTGGCTTTTAGGGCCTGTAGGGTTTGTTTCCTGCTTTCCTTTTAAGAGTTATCTCTTTTTTTTTTTTTTGCATTTCCAGTCCTTGGCACCTTCTTTTCCCTGTGCTTGCAATTATAGTCCTACCTTCCTTTACCAGGCTGACACTGCTACTCAGGTGGCTACTTAGATAGCACCTCCTCCAAGCCTTCTCTGACTTGAGGTCTAGTTGTAAGCATAGTGCTCTGAATTTCACCTTTCTGTAATTGTCTGCTTATTATTGTATATAATACACCTTTCTTCCACCCTAACCCTGCTAGATTATTGGCTTAATGGGGGTTGAGACTCTGTTCTACCATTGTATCTTTAGCCCTGACACAGTAACTGGGAAATAACAGGTATACAATAAACATGTTGAAATGAATAATCATCAGTATTCTGGATATGATCATTTTAAATATTTGTAAAGGTTAGTGGACCAGAATTAATGTTATATTTTTTACCCAACACCCAAACTAGACTTGCATCCTATTCATTTCTTCCTCTATCCATTTATCTAGTATTTGTAAAATGCCTTCTATGTACCAGCACTACACTGGCTGCTAAGATTCAACTGTTAAAAGATTCAAATGTTCTTTGCAACACGCTTATCCTTTAGTGGAGGAAACAAACAATTAAAAAGGAGTTTAAGTACAGTGTGTAGAAGTCAAGAAAAGGGAAGGATGGAAAGCTAAGGGGACAACTGAATGAGACAATGCAAATTTGGAGGCTTAAAATGTAAAAACTTGCTAAGAGTTTTTTCCATTAATGCAGGGGAAAATACTTTTCCAGATTAGGGGAATAGACAGTAATTCTCCAGTAGTGAAACAGAGAAAGTGGCCCTAGAATGTCCGCACATTGGCAAGGATATGGGGTGGTTTGTGTTTTAGAATGATTGCTGTATAAGAAATGCACTGGAGGAACCAAAAGGTAGGATAGACCAGTCAGAAAACCAGGGGAGAGATGAGAACAGCCAGAATGTGGAAATGGGCTTGAGGAGGGAAAATACGGAGTCATAAGTGGATTTTAAAAAAATATATTTTGGACAAAGGATCAATAGAACTTGAGGACTCATTCAGTTTATAGAATGAGGAAAGGGAATGCACTCCTAACTCTTTTTTTTTTTTCCCCCGTAGCTCCTGGCAAGTATGATGCAAGGATTTCACGGAGGAACTTGCAGCAGCAAAACTTCCCTTTGGCACATCTGTAGGGTGTCAAGTCTTGAGGGAGCTGAAAGTAGGAGAAAAAGGTGAGATCTGAGAAAGTAGTTGACATTATGGGTAAGAAGCATTTCTGTCATATCCCTGGTTTGAGCTGAAACATCCCTAAGTGATCTGTTACTCTGTTATTCAGCAGTCATTTGTGTTTCATATACTTCTTCAATATAAAGATTTTGGCTACTAAATTATCTGGGATCATTGAAAAATTTTAAATTTCCCATTTGAAAACATCTTTGTTAAAGATATTCATAGTTTTAAGCAATACAGCTTTATCTTAGGATCTTCCAGTCTGTAGTTTTCTTAGAGTACTGCATTATATATACTTTTTTAGTGTCTTAATACTTAATACACCTTGTTTTATTGCATTTAATTGTGCTTTTCAGATACTGCATTTTTTTACAAATTGAAAGTTTGTGGCAACCCTGTATCAAGGAAGTCTTTTGGCACTATTTTTCCAACATTATACGCTCACTTAATGTCTCTGTGTCACATTTTGATAATTCTCACAGTGTTTCAGATTTTTCACAATGCTACTGAACACTTAATAGATTATGTTGTTGCAGTTGTTGTTATGTGCCGTTGAGTCGGACCCGACTCATAGCAACCCTTCCTTGGGTTTCTGAGGTAGTGTCCTGCAGAAGTAGATTGCCCAACCTTCCTTCCAAGGTGTGGCTGGGGGATTTGAACCGCCAGCCTTCTTGTTAGTAGTGAAGTGCCTTAGGTACTACGCTACCAGAGCTCCCTAATAGACTATGGTATAGTATAAACATAACCATTTATATGCATTGGGAACCCAGAAAGTCTGTGTGCCTCGCTTTATTGCAATTTTCACTTTACTGTGGTGGTCTGGAACTGAACCTGCAGTATCCCTGAGGTACACCTGTCTTCATGTTGCTGCATGCTAGGATTTAGTAATGTTTTGTTTTTGCCATGCTGTTGTTGTTTTTAGGTGCCATTGAGTTGGTTGCGACCCTATTTATGACAGAACAAAACATTTCCCAATCCTCCACCATCCTCACAAGCATTGCTGTGCTTAAGCCCTTCGAAATTGCAGCCACTGTGTCAGTCTATCTCTGGAGTATTATGATAAAATAATAAACATATACTGCTCTTTTTTTCCCTCGTTCTAACTTCCCTTATACATGTAATACATACTAGAGAAAGATTAGAAGATTTGTTGCAAAATGAATCTCTGGAGCCCTTGTGGCACAATGGTTAAAGCACTCATCTGGTAACCAAAACGTCGGTGGTTCGAACACACCAACCTCTGCAGGAGAAGGACGTGGCAATCTACTTCTATAAAGATGTATAGCCTTAGAAGCCCTGTGGGGCAGTTCCACTCTGTCCTTCAGGGTCTTTATGAATGAGAACTAACTCAAAGGCAGTGGGTCTTGAGTTTGGAAGTCAGTAGTAGTGCTTGAAATTAAACTGAGATTTTAAGTTACCATTCATTGCAGTATTCTTTGTAGTTATTTACATTGTTGGTTGTATTTATTGTCATTCATTTCTCCATGAGTCATGTTATTACTCAGCCTCATCATTGTTAAGTTCAAGATTTTATTATCTCCTTACTAGAATATCTGAGCAAGGAGTATTGCTTAGAGGCTTTTAAAAACCTGTTATTCCATTGAAGAAGAGGGCCAAAGAAAAAGAAAAAGAGAAGTTGGTGAGAAGTGATTGTTTACTTCTATATTCTATTTTCATACTACAGAAAGGCCAATATGTGTGTCTTGTGTAATTTGTGCATCACAGATTTCCAGGTATAAGCTGAAGAGATAATACAAGATTGAAATTGTTTGATGATCTTCCTTGATTATGTTATGTTCCTAGAAACCTTCAAAGAAGATATGATGGCTTCCAGAGAAGCGAGTACAGAAAATACACACAGAGTGCTAAGAGTAAGTCAGCTGGATGCGCTTGAACTGAATAAGGCCCTGGAGCAACTAGTTTGGTCCCAGTTTACTCAGTGCTTTCATGGATTTAAGCCAGGGCTGTTAGCCCGCTTTGAACCAGAGGTAAAAGCATTCTTGTGGGTTTTCTTGTGGAGATTCACTGTCTACTCCAAAAATGCCACTGTGGGGCAGTCAGTTTTGAATATTCAGTACAAAAATGATTTTTCCCCAAACCTGAGATATCAACCACCCAGTAAAAATCAAAAGCTCTGGTATGCTATTTGTACAATTGGTGGGAAGTGGTTAGAAGAACGATGCTATGATTTGTTTCGAAACCATCATTTAACATCATTCTGGAAAGTCAAGCAGTGTGTGAATATTGTAGTTGGACTTTTGAAATTGGGTGAGTTGATTAATTTCTTGATTTTCCTTCAAAGAGGGAAGTTTGCAACTCTGACAGAACGTCTGCTAGGCATTCATTCAGTGTTTTGCAAACCCCAAAATGTGCGTGAAGTTGGCTTTGAGTATATGAATCGGGAACTTCTCTGGCATGGTTTTGCTGAGTTTCTGATTTTTCTCTTACCACTTATTAATATCCAGAAATTGAAAGCCAAGTTATCTTCATGGTGTATCCCTCTTACTGGTCCTCCTACTAATGATAATACCTTAGCCACCAGTGGAAAAGAATGTTCTTTATGTGGAGAGTGGCCTATCATGCCTCATACCATAGGGTGTGAGCATACCTTCTGTTATTACTGTATTAAGAGTAGCTTCTTATTTGACATGTACTTTACTTGTCCTAAGTGTGGCACAGAGGTACATAGTCTGCAGCCTCTGAAATCAGGAATTGAGATGTCAGAAGTGAATGCTCTTTAGAAACTAAAATTGTTTACTCTGAGGAAAACTGTGCTATGTTTATCCTTCATATTAGTCATCCTAAGTATATTATTTAGATGTCTTTTATGAGGGTGTGTGCATCTCAGCCATTGTGTTCTGTTCCTTTCCAGGCATGACTAAATGCTAATCCCTGGAAACCACATGATTCTAAATATATTATGTGAATGTTAATGTACTATTTTTTTTAAAAAAATGATTGCATTTGTAATATACAGTTTCAAGAATAATTGATAGTTTTTGTCAGATGACTACTAAGAATGCTCCTTCATTTTACTACTTCCTGGAAAAAGGTTGAACTCTAAAAATAAAACATTTTGAAGACTCTGGGATGAATGTGCATTTGTTTTCAGAGATGACATTATAATATCATAATCTGAAAATGTTACAATTCTGTTGCTTTAAATCTTAAGATCTGATGCCCCAGTTGTAAATTTCAAGTTTTCTCTGAAGCCAGTTTGTAAAGGGTTCAGTCCTCAGCTGTCAGACCCCTTCAAAGTTGGGTTCTTATATTCAGTAAGTAAAACTTGCTTAAAACGGCTTATGGTTGAGGCATGGGGACTCCTGGGAACAACCTATATGAAGAATACTGTTTACAGGATCTCTTTCTTCTAGCCTTTGATTCAGAGCTTACATTCTTACCAAGTATATTGATAGGTTTTATGAAAAACATCAGCAGTGTTTAGCACAGAAATAATATAATAATACATAGGAAGAGAATTCTGTATACTTTCCTCCTCATTTTCCACTTAAAAGTTTAAAAATTAACCTTTTGCTAAATAATAATATGAAAAATATTTGAGTTATTTAAGTTACTTCAACAAAATAATGATACTTATTTTTAAATAAGATCTTGAGTTTTGGGCTTTAACGATAAACCAAAATAAAAATATATTAGACTTTGAACAAAGATAAGATAATAAGAATAATTCACATTGAGTTGAAGTAAGTCACAGAAGAGTCAAAGGTTGTTACTTTCAACTGACTGTTGCACAGGTGAAATCACAAATCAATAAAAATGCAAATGCAGTCACTACCATGGAGTCGGATGTGACTCATAGCCAACCCTCCTTGGCTTTCCGAGGCAGTATCACTAGGAAAGTAGATTGCGCAACCTTCCTTCTGAGGAGTGGCTGGTGGGTTTGAACCACCCACCTTCTGGTTAGCAGTCAGATGCCTTAAGCACTACACTACCAGAGCTCCTTTAAAGGAGTATATAGTATGGTAGAAATACACTAGCAGTTTTTCACCTTTCTGTTCACCTTTTATTTAACAAATGCTTCTGTGCCAGATACTGACACAAACATTGGGAATACAGCAGCAAATAAAATTGTAAAAGAAAAAAGAAAATTCCCTTCATGGAATTTATACTCCGTTAACTGAGTGGATTCTAAGTTTCATTGATGTTCAATTCAGAAGAAAATACCATAAAGTTATGTAGTATAGTAGGCAAAAATATTCCCAATCTTTAAAAGGTCGCTTTTTTTGTCCTGCTCTGATCCTAAAAGGCTAATGTAGAAACTTACAAAAATCCAGGAAAAAAATAAATGAAAATTGTCATATTTTTATTACCTAGACATTATCACAATTAATATTCTTGTATATTTCATGTAAGGCTTTGTGTTGCACATACATATTTTTTATTTACACAATTGTTAACAGTGATTAGAGCTTTGTTATTTTTTTTTTAAATAGCATTTCACTATAAGCTTATTTTTAAAAAAGTTTAATGACTGCATGATAAGTCATCCTATGATTATTCCTGTCATTTATCATTTAACTTTATTATTAAAGTCCCCAGGTAGCTCAGACATTTTGTGTTATAACCTAAAGGTTGGTGGTTCAACCAACTGTAACTCATGAGGTTACTGAGAGTTAGAATTAATTTGACAGCAGTGGGGCTTTTTAATCCATCATCAGAGTACATTTAGGTTGTTTTCAGGTTGTTAGGTCTTTTGTAAGTAATACTATTGTAAATCTTCCAGAGTATAATGAGGACTCCTTCAGTTCCCATTATATAAAATTAATTCAGACTCATTTTTACAAAAAGAGCAAGAACTTAATTTATAAGTTAAAGAAAAAGGTCAGGTGGACACTATAGGCCTAAACTGAATATAGGTGTTCAAATGATTTTCGTTGAAAGAGTCTCTCTTTTTAGCTCTTATTTTTTTTCTTCCCTGAGGATGACCAGTATACATGGCAGTGAGGGATATGGACTCTTCTAGGGTTCAGATCCCACATGTGACATTTACTTTTTTTGTGACCTTGGTAAACTTACTTAATCTCTATACAAATGTACATTATAAGGATTGTATGTCTAGTGCATATAAAGTTCTTAAAGCAGTGTCTGGGTTTATAGAGCAAAACTGTGGAGTCAGTAGCTCTAAATTCCTATCCCTCCACAGAAGAATTGAAAACAATCAGAAACCCTCAGGATGAACTTTGTTCAAACTCTGAAAACAGTGAAAGGTTTAAAGCAACCAACAAATACTGAAGAAATATAAAAATGGTAGAAAGGTTTTATGACTTTTTTTTACTTGCCATTCCTCCATCTCCTTTCCAGCTCAGGAAGAGTCTTGATGGCTGAATTGTAAACAGCTTTGCTAAGTGTTCAAAGAGTGCCCCAACACAGAGCTAATCTGCCAAAAGTAGAAGATGTGGTTTTGGTGGTGTTTTTTGCAAGCTCATGGCATTCAAAGAACTCTCTGTTAAAACTGACTGAACACAACCTAACAGTTAACAATAATGAACAGCAAACCCTAAGGAAAGGGGAGAATCTGATTTCCAGGCTTACCATATTACAAAATGTAAATATCCAGTTTTCTACAATAATAATCAGAATTGCAGAGCACACAGATAAACAGAAAAGTAGGAGCCATTCAAATGTAAAAATAAATTGACAAAAACCAGCTCTGAGGAGCCCAGACATTGGATTTACTAGATAAAGACTTTATATTGACCATCTTAAATATGCTTACAGAGCTAAAGGAAATCATGGGGGAAGAAAAGGGAACCAGGAAAATGATTTTATATGAACAAAATGGGAATATCAGTAAAGAGAAATTACAAAATATAAACAAACAGAATTTCAGAGCTAAAAAACAGAAAAACTGAAGTTAATAAAAATGCCCTGAAGGGATTCAGTAGCAGATTTGGGCAGGCAAAAGAAAGAATCAGTGACCTTGGACGTATCAAAAAAAAAAATAAACTCACTGCCATTGAGTCAGTTCTGAGTCATAGCAACCCCTCCTTGGGTTTCCAAGGTGGTATCTCTATGGAACTAGATTTCTCAGTCTTCCTTCTGAGACATTGGACTTAGAACACCTGAAATTATAAAATAAGAGCAGCAAAAAGAAAACAGCATGAATAAAAGTAAACAGAGCCAAAGGGACCTGTGGGATACTGTCAAACAGATGAACATATGAATTATGAGAATCCTAGATGGAGAAGAGAGAGAGTATGACAAAAAAGACTATCTGAAGAAATAATGGCCAAAATCTTCCCAAGTATGAGGAAAGATATGATTCTACAAGAAAGTCAACAAATTACAAGCAAAACAACTCAAAAAAGATCCACACTAAGCTACATTGTACTCAAATTGTTGAAAGCCAAAGACTAAAAGTTTGAAAGCAGCAAGAGAGAAACAATTTTTCATGTACATGGGATTCTCAATAAAATTAATAATTGATTTTCAGCAGACGGCAGTGGAACAGCCTATTTAAAGGGTTGAAAAAAAAATTCAACCACGAATTCTATACTTAGCAAAACTATCCTTCATGAATGAAGAGGAAATAAGATATTCTTATATAAACAAAAGATAAGTGAATGTGTCACTAATAAGCCTACCCAACAGAAATGGTTAAGGACATCCTTCAGCCTGAAATGAAGACAGTAGACAGGAACTGAAAGCTATATGAACAAAGTCTCACCATCCTCACTTCTAAGAAGCATACTGGCTGCACTTCTTCCAGGGCAGATTTGTACATTCTTATGTCAGTCCATGATATTTTCAGTGTTCTTCACCAACACCACAATTCAAATGCATCTGTTTTTCTGCAGTCTCTCTTATTCATTGCCCAGCTTTCACATGCATAGGATACTATTGAAAAAAGACCATGTGTTGGGTCAGGTACACCTTAGTCTTCAGAGTGACATCTTTGCTCTTTAACACTTTGAAGAGGTCTTTTGCAGCAGATTTGTTAATGCAGTATGTCATTTGATTTTTGACTGCTACTTCTGTGATCCCACAGAATGTAGAAATGATAGAACAATACCATTAATATCACATGCAAGTAAGATATTACTGAAGATAATTCAGAAACGTTTGCAGCAGTATATTGATAGAGAACTTCCAGAGGTTCTAGCCGGATTCAGAAGAGGACGTGGAACAAGGGATATCATAGCTGTTGTCAGATGGATCTTGGCTCAAGGCAAAGAATACCAGAAAGATGTTTACTTGTGTTTTATTGACTATGCAAAGGCATTTGATTGTGTGGATCATGACAAATTATGGATAACATTGAGAAGAATGGGAATCACTTGATTGTACTCATGAGGAATCTGTACCTTGACCAGGAGGCTGTCGTTCGAACAGAACAAGGGGACACTACATGGTTTAAAATCAAGAAGGGAGTGCTTCAGGGTTGTATTCTGTCTCCACACTTATTCAATCTATATGCTGAGCAAATAATCCGAGAAGCTGGACTATATGAAGAAAAACGTGGTATCAGGATTGGAGGAAGAATCATTAACAACCTGAGATATGCAGACGATACAACTTTGCTTGCTGAAAGTGAGGATGACTTAAGGCACCTACTGATGAAGGTTGAAGAATACAGTCTGCAGTATGGATTACATCTCAACATAAAGAAAACAAAAATCCTCACAACTGGACCAATGAGCAGCATCACAATCAATGGAGAGAAGATTGAGGTTGTCAAGGAATTCACGTTGCTTGGTTCTACAATCAATGCCAACGGAAGCAGCAGTCAGGACATTAGACGACGTGTAGCACTGGGGAAGTCAACTGCGAAGGAACTGTTTCAAGTGCTGAGGAGCAAGGGTATCTCCTTGAGGACTAAGGTGCGCCTGACACAAGCCATGATATTTCCAATCGCCTTGTATGCATGTGAGAGCTGGACAATGAATAAGGAAGACCGAAGAAGAGTTGATGCTTTTGAGTTGTGGTGCTGGCGAAGAATGCTGAAAGTACCGTGGACTGCTAAAAGAACTAACAGATCCGTCCTGGAGGAAGTGCAGCCAGAATGCTCCTTGGAAGCAAGAATGGCCAGACTTCGTCTCACCTATTTTGGTCATGTTGTAAGAAGGGACCATTCCCTGGAGAAGGATGTCATGCTTGGTAGGGTGGAGGGTCGACGAAAGAGGGGGAGGCCTTCAGGGAGATGGATTGATACAGTGGCTGCGATGATGGGCTCGA